GCGGGAGAGTAACCTCTCGATATGTATCGATGGTACCGTACCTAGAACTAGATGCATTTAAAGTATTTACAAAGAGGCCTTTGTACCAATTTACAATATATATGGTCGATCCCGATTCCCCGGAGCGGTAGGCTGCCACCTTAAATCGCTCGGCCATTCGCCCTATATTATATGGTATGTATGTTACGGTAAAAGTATTTATATTGCATTATTATTTCAAAAGTTTCAGCAATATCTCAATGACTAATTACTTTTCACCCGGATTAATCACTTTTACCATAACATGTATCAATAATTATAATCGAAATGGAAATTAACTAGGCATAATGAAATTGTTATAATTTGTATAATAATAAGTCAATCATAATAAAGTTTATGTATACATGTACAGAAATCAATAAAATTTTATAATATCTTTATCATTGGTGTGAGCAATAACCGAGAAAGACTGCACTGTCTCGTTTGGCCATATGTTTCGGGGACGTTAGCTGGGATGACAAAGACCTCACGAATGGTTGATTTTGAGGAAATTGGTAGATGGCACTGGTGACTATACAGAATTTTAAAATTCGCATACAGTAGATCCTCTATAACACGGGTTCATATAATACGGATTCGTATAAAACGGCGAACAAATTGCGATCGTATTCGTATAAACACGCTAAAAGAGACTCGTATAATACGGTAAAATGTCATCGCCGACTCGTGTCGCTACAGGATTGGTAGAATCTAGACCAATAGCGGATATTACACAAACCGTTGAGTTTAAACGAGCAGCGGACCTACTAAAACCATTTCTTATTTAACGGCCATAAAAATTATATTTATATTAACGATGTCTCCAAAGTTAAGTTATTTTTCTGCGAAAAATTCGCTGATCAGAAAACACTCGCCCGCCGTTCGATGAGCAACTCCGCGACGAAAACAAGCATAAGCAATGGCGTCTTCGAAGGGGGCACATTCGGTAAATAATCCTATAATTTTATGTTTATAGCATAGTTTATATGGATTATTCCCAAAAAAAATTATACGTGTTTTGGAAATGTTGAATCAAATTAGTCTAGAATCGATTAATTTTATGGAAGAAAACCTTTCAAACAGCCGTAATCCCTAAACTGCACACGTGTCGCGCTGTGATTGGCTCATGTATTTAAGTGACTCGTACAACATGAAATTCATAAAACACGGAACGTATCTACCGTGTTATAGGGGTGTCTACTGTACATGTATCTATTTTTCCATTTAATAAGGCACGTTTCAAATATTTTTCATCATTTTTCTTCTAGAAATGTAGAAATTATAGCAGGTTCTCGATACCTTATTTTCCACCCACCTGCATATTGTACTACTGTACTGTACAATATATAGTAGTTTATTCTTCATTCACA